CATCCATGGTAGGAGGTTGTTAATGTTGACCTTGAGCTACTTGATTCAAAATAACTAAATTTTTTATTTATACATGTCCGTCGTTGCGCTATAATAATTTCCATAAAAGCACCCCATCTAAATCAATGCGTTGGTGTACCGCTGATTTGTGGGCCATGCGGTGGCAATTCCCAGCGCTTAATGCAGGAATGCAGATTAGCGGATTATAGTGAGGTCTGTTATTGGAGAACACGGTTGGACAGGGATTAATTTCATATAATAATTGCGGTTGTAAGGGAGCGCAGCAGGCGAACCAGGGTGCTGCTATAGGCAGGGAAAAGTGTGGCCGTTGAAAAGACATTGGTCAATCGAGGAGTAGGCGATGCAGTGTCGTTGGCTGTTTCACGCACATAACCTTGACACCGGCCGCTAGCTGATTAGTAACAGGAGTAAACCTGGTTTACCCCTGCAGGGACAACACCGATCTCGAATCCACCAAGTGACCACGCCGCTTATCGAGTGCTCAATTGACTGCACTTGGTGGCAGGGCATGACCCATTCACGGCCCTTTGCATCCAAGGCCCTGTCAGCAAGGCTCCGTGCTTTTTCGTGGATCAGTGACTATGCGTTAAGCATCGTGAATTATTAGATGCTGTATTGTGAATGTCGGGGTATAGCGCAGGCGTGGGAACACTTTACCGTACCGCAGAACAAGCGTTCCACTGTTATTTGCTTGAAAACGCAAATATCGCTTACGACTCCCGCTGCGTGGTTAATTACGGCAATGGTATTGCGCACGTGGGCACCTGCCGTTCAATGTTCACGGATCGCTCATTTTTTCTAGAGCGACCCATTGATTTAAAATCGTTGAAGACCGTTGAGCATTTAGTTGCCCTATCTGGTAGGAAAAGCACAATCCAATGGGCTAAACATTTTAGTGAATGGCTAAAGTTAACATACTGCGCAAGCGAAAGGCTAGCTAATGAGGATATGGATGTGTGTTTAGCTCGAGGGTGTGACTCGGTCAGCAGGTTATAACCCATGGGTCGCAAAGTGGATGCTAATGTTGTGTGTGTGCCTGAAGAAAGAAGCAGACCTCATACAAATAAAACAAACTAACTTTTTGTAACAAGCAAACTATAATTTTAGTATATTTTAGGATAAGCCACACAATCAAATGGGAGAATCTTCAGGTCACCACAATACGAGCTCACCGATATGAAACCGGGAGCATTGGAGACAACCGCGCTCATGCAAACTTCACACTAAAATTAACCCTAAAGTCTGCAACTTTAGATCGGTATCTGCGAATAGCGACCTCCTGCGCATTCTGTTCTGCTGAGACAGGTCATTGGATCATTGGATCAAGTGATTATGTCTAACACACAACGTTTGCATTGTGCGAAAGTGATGACTAAGGGTATCCAGTGCATTGCCTGCAAACTCTGGGCATGTGGCCAAAAGCGTTGCTCGCAACTTACTGAACCGCTCTTCAAGACCTATGCTAAGCACAAGGGTTTGCTATGGATTTGTCGATATTGCATCGATGCTGTTGCGTTGGCAAGACGTCCGCCACATCAACATCCTGAAAGGCGTTCTTCTGCTCCTTCTGCTAGGCGTGCCAGGAAGCGGAGCAACACATCTTCCAGCGACGCTCCAAAAGTCGCGGCCACCCTCGCCCCGTCTACTTCTCATTCGGACCCTTTGATACACATCCGGCCTGTTGAGCATACGACGAATTCATATGCGGACGTAGTGAAGGAGAAAGCGACTTTGGCCTCGCGTGGCCAAGGTCCAGCTACATGTGTCATCAAGGCTAGGACTAAGTCTTTGAATAAACCTGAGCTTCCATCTTCTCAGTCACGGATGAAGATAATTCACAACAGAATCTCTGAGCTGGAAAAAGTGATAAAGGAAAATCCAGCATCTCGTAAGCCACCAATTCCAGAGCGCATTCAGCCATCTCGTGACCGCTGTCTCATCATCGTGAACGCTGTGGAATCGGACAAGGTTACCTCGGCGGAGCGAATGTTGGATGATCAAATACTGCTCGAGCGGATGATTTCTCTACTGTTTGATGCAGGCGAACAAGGAATAAACATTGTCTCTTCCTTTCGCCTCGGTAAGAAGCAGGAAAATTCCTCCAAGGTTCGACCCCTCAAGATTGTATGCGGAAACGAAGAAGAGTGCGCGCGCATCCTTCGACGGACTCCACGTCTCAAAGGCGAACCTTTCTACGTGTTACGAGACCTCTCTCCCGAGGACCGAATTAAAATGAAGAAGGCTGTAGAGGAGCTCCGAACGCGCCGAGCGAGTGGTGAAACCGACCTACATATCGTGGATTGTTGCGTAGTTCGGAAGAGCACAAGAGTGCGCTGGAGGCCGATTCTTGTCACCCCCAGACAATTAAAATATAAAAACGGGCTACGCGTGCTATCGGCCAACGTACGCAGTCTAAGGAATAAACTGGACGAAATTCAGTTGCTTACTTCGGAGTCTCGTCCAGACCTGATGGCCTTCACCGAAACCTGGCTATTCTCAGATATCACGGACTCGGAAATGTCTATCCCCGGATATCACCACTCCCGGTCCGATCGCCGCGGGGTGAGGTCAGGTGGTGGAGTAATTCTCTACTGGAAGACGGATCTCAAACTACATCGAGTTGAAGCAATCAGTGACCAGGATGACAAGTTCGAAGCCCTCTGGTGCCGTGTTCATGACGGCTTTAGATCTCTCTTGGTCGGTGTCGTCTACAGAGATCCACCGGGTCCCGGAGCGCGCTTGTTGGGCTCGATAAGAATGTATGGTGGGCACAAAGACTGTTTAATCTTGGGGGATTTCAATGCACCGGATATCGATTGGGACCTACTTCTTTGTGATCGCCGATCTGACTCCTTCGACGCCACACTGCTTAAAACCGCTCTCGATTGCAGCCTCGTTCAACATGTCTTAACGCCTAGTCGTATTTTTCCAGACCAGACCCCGCACATCCTGGATCTCGTGCTCTCCCCGGCAGATTCGGATGTCAAGAACCTAACCGTTCTTCAACCCATAGGCAAGAGCGATCATTGTGTTGTTTCATTCCAATGGACTCGCCGTCTCACGATCCATAGCCACTGTGGTCACCGTCGAAATTTTTGGCGTGCCGACCCACTCCGTCTGAAAACGGCCGCAAGCGCTACGGATTTGGGTATCCCCGAACACATTCACCTCGATGACGCATGGAATCTTGTACTCTTCAAAATGACGTCGTTACTTGAGCAGGTCGTTCCTTCCTCCCATCGAAAGCCCTTCGCTAGAGGTCCACCTTGGATGGATCGAGAGTTGAGGTCAAACATGAATAGAAGGCGCAAACTATGGGACCGCTATAGGCAATGTCATGCAGAACTCGACTTCTCTCACTACAAGACAGTCAGAAATGTTTGTGTCGCAATGAAGCGCCAGATACGCCAACGATACGAGCTCTCCTTGGCAAAACACTCCAGCATCGCGCCTAAAATGCTCTACTCTTATTTGAAAAGAAGCACTAGAGCTGGTAGTGGCATCCCTGCTTTGTGTTCCTGTGATCATCAAGCTTTACTTCACGAGGACGCTGAGAAAGCTAGTCACTTGGCTAAGCAATACGCTTCTGTTTACGCGAAAGAAACCCCATTTAGTGACAGAGCCGTATCCACATTTCCATCTTCGTTGGCCCAAGTAGATATTAACACTGATTCTGTGATGAAACTTCTTCTTCAGTTAGATCCGTATAGCTCACCCGGCCCTGATGGATTGCATCCTTTGTTCCTCAGGACTGTGGCGGAGTACATAGCTTCACCCATATGTCAAGTCTTTCGTCGCTCACTAGAAGCTGGCCGTCTTCCTTCAGCTTGGAAAGTTTGTATCTTCAAACCCATCTGCAAAGGAAGAAGTCGACATGATCCGGCCAATTATCGTCCAATCTGTTTGACGTCAGTAGTGTGTAAAGTTATGGAACGAATCCTAAAACAAGCTGTTACTCTTCAGCTTGGGGGACAGAATGTCATTGCTTCTGCCCAGCAAGGGTTCAGAAAAGCACGCTCCTATACCTCGAACTTGCTCGTTGCTAAGGAGACCTGGGCAAGGTCACTAGACTCCGGCAAACGCTTGGACGTTGTGTTTGTTGACTTCAGCAAAGCTTTTGACAAAGTCCCGCATGAACGGCTCCTTTGCGAGACCTGTCGTATCCACATCGACTTCAACGACTGAACTTGTTCTCCCTAGGTTACCGCCGTCACTGAGGAGATTTGATTTTCACCCGACGTATTCTCAGAGGAGAACTGGGTTGCGCGTTACAGGGCTTCTTTCAACTTAACACTGAGAGTTCGACACGAGGCCACCGCATGAAACTGTTCGAACAGAGGAATCTCCGTGTGCGACTCAATTTGGCCTTATCAACTCGCGTGGTGAATGATTGGAACCGGTTGCCGGATCCTGTTGTTGATGCTGAGACTGAGGAACGTTTCAAACAACTGTTAGATTCTCACCTGAGCGCGCTGGGATTCTGCTGCCTCTAAGGCAGCTACAGTGGTCCTCTACGGAACTTTCTACCGCAATGACCCACGCCATCTCCGCAATGATCGGGAAGTGAAGGAGCTGACCAAGGATCTTCCTTTTGCTCTCTATCATCCAATGATCCAATGATCCAATGTCTCTAACAAAAGGAGGATATGTTTCAAGTACGTTAACCGTTTTCAAAGGAAGAAAAACACGCAGATAAACATTCCTAGTTTGGCATATTGGTATCAAATACTAGTACCCAAACAAGCCCGCAAGCCCAGTGGCAGAATCAGCAGAATTGTAGGTGCAAAAAGATTTTTATATGCATGTTCGCAGCGCAAATTGCCGATAGGAAACCTATCAGTCTTTCAAACTCCCGCAATAATTAATCAATGCTTTTCTTATAGGAATACTACTTATGACACACTCAAGCAAAAATTTGGCTAATGTCATCGTGGAGTTCATTAGAAGGTTGGCCTGTTCTTGGCTCTCTTTGCAGGTGTGTTTTAATACATCGCGTTTACATCGAATTTACATTCAAGCGGATTCAAGCGGACATGTCTTATGTTTCTGATTCCCCTTTAAATACAAGTATCTCTTTCGAGATACCATTGGATGAGTTAAAACTTAAGTCACCCCGACCTCCCAGTGTTTCTCAATACGTGGCTTCACCCTGTCGGAGCATAATTTGCGAATCGGACTTGTCGGAGAGGCTCTCTCGTGCCGACCAGCGCCGTTCCAGCGTACTATCTGTGAGTTTGCTGGATTCGCGGCATGTGCGCTTTCGACCGCTGTTTGAATTTTGACATATTCGGTCTTGTTTTCTTTTATTTTAGGAAACTCGGAATAGGAATGTACAATACGTACAGATGGTCGTTTCGAAGTGCGAGCAAGAGAAGGAGAGACAGCTCAACCGTTCAATGGAGATGGATGATCACATAAAGGAGGATCTTGCGAAAAAGGTGGAGCGGCGACAGAAAGCATTAGCTGAAAGGATCAACCTCGCCAAAAAACAGGTATGCCTAGTGGATTTGACGTGATGCGATTTAGCTTGTGAAAGTTAAACAGGCGAGCGACGCGCGCTCCTCCTCACGAGAAAGTTTAATGAAGCACATCGATAAAGATATGTCTGATAAGGAGAACAACCGCCGGTCATTTATTCAAGGTATTAAAGATCATTGTCACATGCAGGTGAGAAGCTAATAGTCTAGCATGAAATTCCGTTCTGTACCTCGATGGGCAAGTACTTTGGGATTTCGATTCCATGAATGGTTCTAGATTGCCATTGACATAGTTATCGATGCAGTCATAATTTATCGCAGCGTTTTGTGATGCTCTGCAACCCCACAACTGCTCTCCATGTTAATATTGAAGAGTATAGCAAGGCTTTTTCGCTTGAGATTACTTAGCTGTTTTTCAAGAGATTCTAACATCGGCGATAATCTGCAGCTAGTTAGAAACTATATCTTAAGGCTGATCGCAGTTCAACCACACAAACGATTTCCCTGCCGTTGCGGTCTTCCTGGTTCTGAATGAATAGAGCACGCTTAAATTTTGCTTTCCATAAGTCATTTGAAGCGGGCGCTCTCAGGCGGCCAACGGAACTATTCTAGCTGACAGTGTGCTCGTTGTGCATGCCGTTTAATGTGACGCAACTGTCGGGAGTCTGGTCAGGTCAGGTCAGGTCTTCAAGGACGAAATAGGGCTTCGTCTAACGAGCGTCCCGTTTCATGTGCCGGTAAGAAAACCAAGGCCCCAGGCACTTCGATCTTCAAGCTTCACTTCTGTAGAGAGTAAAAAGAGTAAGAGGAATCTCTCAAAACTTCATGGAACTATTCTTGACATCCTATTGGTTCCAATTAGCATCCACTAATAGCGCAATTCCGTAAACAGTGGACCAATTCATATCTAAGTTTTTTAATGGTTTCAATAGGATTACATTTCACTAGTGCTGAGGAAAGTAAATTCCGACTACGTACCACGCGGTTAGTGAAAAATTTTGCTCCGTTATCCAGTCTAGACCTGTGCGTTATGGGCTTCAGACGGTGTCCCCGCAGGTGGTTCGACATAGCTAGTTCAAAGAGGCTGGTACGCTAATAATAACGATAATGTGTCAGCTTTATGCTTTAACGACGCTTCGCTGCCGTGCGATCACCACCAGCCGCACGCGGGCTGATTTTACCGCGAGGACGCTCATCCCTACGCGGATTCGAACCCGCGCCGATCGGTGGGCTTAATGCCACTGACTCAGGTCTCCCCTTAGTCTGCGATGTTCCAATGAAAGCAAGTCTGCTCCTTATATTCTAGTGAATAAACAATCCAGGCAATCAAAGTACGACTTCTCGCGCTGGCCTTCAATCATTCTGGTGGTCAGTCTTTGTACTTTCTCTAAGCAAGTGACGTCCTTTCGAAAGTAAGGTGCTTAGGCCTAAAGACAATACCCTAAGTGCCGCCGAACCACCGCTTTGTACAACAGGAGAAAGACCTCAGGTTTAGTGTTACACAACGCTCTCTTGAGGCGAACAAGTTCATATTGGCACTGCATCAGTGGCCTGAATCAATCTGCCATAACGATACTTAAGTCCCTCATTATATCTACACATTGAAATGTTAGGGACCCTGGGGATGTTTACACCTTAATCCAACGTTACTGGATGATAACAGCTGACATTTGTCCGTGTTCATTGGCAATTCCCATGATTTAGACCACTGTCACAGTACCCAGGTCTTCAGGCAACGTATCATTAGCTCCCCTACTGACAAGCTTTACGTCATTTGCAAAGCATACCACGGGTTCTCGATTAGTAGGGCCAGGTCATTTCTAGACATAAGAAACAACGATCCTAGCACTGAACCCACAGGGACTCCGCTGTGGTCAGTGCCCATTCTGGATCTGTTCTCACCTGTTCTGACAGTGAACTTTCTGCCACAGGAACTCCGACAACTAGGTACTCGGCTGGGGATGCAACCTAAACATTTCATTGTTCTTGATAAGGTTCGCTTGTGCTGTGCGATGTTTCGCCTCTGCACATGGCTCACCTTGTTATTGCTCACAATTTCTTCACAACTTAATATAGTTCGTGTTACCTCATAATTTAGTGGGGATTCGGAAAATCACTTGAGTTGGACAGTAGATAAATCAGTAGTTCCGTTTTATATTGTGGTTCTGGCCACTATGTGTTGTGTTGTCGTTTGTCGTTCTTTGGGTTGTTCTTATCTGATTGCAGTTCAACGCATTTTTCATTGTTCCACCATCGTTTCGGCACAGGCCTGTCACTTGTTACGAGATCAAGCTGAGGATAGCCGGTTACTCTGTATTCGGGAAGATAGGGTTTGCTAGTTAAGGCCAATTACTGCCTCCGACCGCCTTCCAGTGTCGGTTTGCTCACTCAGTTACCCTACAATGAACATGGAGTGAAAACTAGCCCTGGACTACCGCACCAGAAGGAAAGAAGCAATGTCAGATAAAGTATAGGAATACGCTGATCTTTAGGCGTGACCCTCTGGACTAACTTCACAGATATTCCGCACTCCCTGACGGAATAGTCGAAAGATAATATTCCACCCCCCCACCCCCCAAACGTAATAGTCGGAGGATGATATTCCACAGTGTTGGTTCCTCGAAGCTCGGATGTCCCAGGCACACAGACAAAACAAGCTCAACACAATGCCGCAAGAAAGTAGAGTGCGCCGTTGAAGGTTGAGAGAAGTATACCGGAAAAAGCGGTCAATTAAAGCGACTGCACAATACCGATTGAAAAATGAAGTGAGAAAGTGCAAAAAATGAAAAATCTATGAACACTACAGGACTCCCCACCCACTAGAGCGTGAGTGGACCAGCGAATGCTGGAAATGTACATCTGATTGTAAAACGCTAGTTTAGCAGTGGGAACCACTGTACGACCAAAACGTGTTCTTTTATGTGTGCGTAGTTTTGGTGGGTGTCGCAGGGGATTGCGAGGTAGGTACATTGGATCACACATAATCTGTGTAGGAGGGGTGCTCGACGATGGTTACTCATCGGAGTAGTAGTATCTCTAAGTTGCTGCGATGAGGAAAGTTGGACACAAGCAGGTTTCAAACCATCGATGCTCACAGAGTCTTCGCAACCATTTCGGCCCAACACAAGGGTGGTCTCAGGTTTACGAATAGGATCGATGCACACAAGAACTTAGAGATAATCACAAAAATCAGGATGCACCTATGGGTTACGGAGTGTGAGTCGTAGATTTGTTGGGCGTACCGAGCTAAAGTGACTCCTCAGGCGTGTGACAATGTTGGATCTACTTAGCCAGTGATCCTTGGGTTCAGTGCCATCTCTCCAGGAAGTCTAAGTGGCGTACCAAAAATTAATTCAGCGAGGTAACAGCCTATATCTTCCGTGACAGTGTTACACATGCCAAGCAGGATTATTGGCAAACGCTGCGATCATTGCGTACTGGACTGAGAAGCGGTAATCAAAACTTACAGTTGGCGATAGAAGCGTTTTACCAGACCATTGGCTGCAGAATAGTAAGCTGTGCGCAATTGAAAACAACCGTGCAAACGACTCAGATCAGGGAACATAGAAGAAGTGAACTGCGGACCTCTGTCATGATAGTAGCAGCTGTGCCAAAGAAAGAAATCCGTTTCGATGCATGTTCGCGTTACTGTTTCAGGGGAAACATCCCGTAATGGCACTATGTGTGGCCAGCGCGTAAATCTATCAACACATGTCAGCAAGTATTAAACACCGTTGGAAGGAGGCAAGGGACCAACGATGTCAAATGGACATGCTTGAAACGAGCATCCGGTAGCGAAAAGGTGCCGCGGACAGTAATTGTATGGCGATAGACCTTGCTGGTCTGACACGTAATACAGTGTTTTGCCCACTGGTGGATGTCTGAGCGCGTATTGTGCCAAACAAAGTGATCTGTGATCAATTTAACAGTAGCCCGAATGCTTGGATGTCAGCCTGTGGAGGTGATCAAAAACGACGGCGGTATCACTGTTGAACGTAGGATCTGGGCTTACCCGTAGACATGTCGCAATGAACTTTGGAATCCGAGTTAAGAAGCGGCAGAAGAGTAAGTTTTATCTAAGGGTTCTATTTCATTTGCATAAACTCAGGATCTTCCTCCTGATGAGTAGCGATTTCCTCCGGATCGATTGCCGGACGCGTAAGTTCATGAAGTCTACTGCGGGACATTGCGTCGACTACCACGTTATCAGTGGCGTCTGCGGTATATAATCAAGGTGTCGGTTTTTACGTGGGGGAAACGGTCCGAAGAACCACGGAAGACAAAAGCAAGTGGCTTGTGATCAGTAAGAATGGTGAATGGACGACTTTGGAGGCATCGAACGTGTTTATTGGCGAGATAAATGGCCAAAGGTTCTATTCCGACATACTATAACTAGTTTGTGCAGGTTGTGATTTACGGGAGAAAGTAGATAGTGGTCCTGGAAGACCATTGATGAGTTGTTGTAGGATGGCTCCAACTGTGGTCTGTGTAGCATCAGTTTTAAGGACGAGAGGTGTATTAACATCAGTCCTCAAATGGCTTAACGCAGTGACGTTGGATAAGTCATGTTTAATCTTATCGGTAGCGTCTAGTACTCCGTTGGCTTGAATTTTATAGTCTTTCCTTTAAGCAAGTCGGTTAAAGGTTAAACAATTTAGAGCAATCAGCTATAAAGCGGCCGTAATAGTTCACCATACCGAAGACATGGCGCAGGCTTTTGTAGGACTGCGGCATCGGATACTCTCTGGGAGTGGACTGATGCCGTTGCGATCGATTCGATGACCGAGAAAGTAAACAGTACTGGCGAAAGACATTTGTCCACGTTGGTCGTGACGCCATAATGATCAAAACGCTCAGACTTGGCGATGATGAAAGAAATGTTCTTGCTTAGAGCTGGTCACGAGAATGTCATCGACATAAGCAAAAGCAAAATCTGGTCCTCGAAGAACTTGGTGGATTAATCGTTGAAAGATTTGTGCAGCACCCGGACGCCTGATGTCTTCGGACATAATATTTAATGAGTGGGGACCCAAGGATTCGTCCTATTTCGTTTTCAAAACTTATTGGCCGTTGTAATCGCGTCGCCTATCGTTTTCATTGGCCGTGCGGTTTGCGCTTGTGCAATTTACTCGTGTTCCCAGCGACTATTTGGGTGAGCATCAGTTACCAAGTTTCCTTAGCCCTTTTGTGAAACAAGTCAAGAGTGAACGATGGGGCTCTCTTTTCGCCGTATTACCCCAGCGTATCAATCGCGGAGAATGTTTCTACTGTGTTCACTTGGCTGTTGTTGTTTCTATCACTTTCCGAAACACATTATTTGCATGTGTCGCGAACCTGTTAAAGTAGGTCTTATGGCATTGATATCGTATTACCTGACTTGCACCACCCGGCCTTGAGTTCCTAATCCTGCCCGAGCTTTGCTGCCCTGCCTTTTATCGGCCCGCGTGCTATCGCCCGCGGTTGGATGGCACTGAGTGTTGGCGTATACCTAATGCATTATCCTTTTTATTTCGTCTTACTTGCTTAATCTGACGCAAATTTGTTCTTGCGTGGTGCACACTTCCAGCTGCCACCGCAAACCTTAACAATGATCACATTATATATGTGCATAATCATCGATTGGACATCTTTACTTCCAGAGTACCTGCTATGGGTACTTTTGTGACCACGAAAGTTACGTCTCTGTTTTACACCATCTTCCTTCTGATTATGTGATGTGTGTGGAGTGTAGGCATTCTTGCTTTTTAAGTTATTTTGAAGTGCTCATTGCCTGATTAGATTGCGACTCGCAATCTCCGTCTGGATCGTGATTCGTATTAAATTGACCCATAGTCAACTCAACAATTAGCAGCGTAGTTGAAGCAGATTCTTACTTCCCATGCTGCACTAGTTTGTTTTGAGCCCTTTGCAAGCACTATATTCTACAGGATCACTGGGTTTCATAGTTATCAAGTCAGAAACTGGCAATTTCCACTTTGATGTGAATGCATCAAATCCGTATACACACTTTTACAGCCCTCAAACAGCGTCATGCTTGTGAACACTTGGTGTTATCTTTACCTTGAAAACCCTCTTTACTTCGCTCGTTCGCTGCATAGCTTTGCAGGGTAGATTCGCCTAATGTCACAACGGTTGCTTCCGCAAACCTGTACCGACGCCCTTTGCACACGAAGAGGTCAGTAAGTTCTGCACCCCAACCAAGGTGCTTGTCTTTTTTAGTTTTTGGTGCGTTAGTTGACTCATGGATGCTCAAAGCCGCGGCGTGTCTTACCGCTCTACCCACCATAGGTGTGACCATCGCGCCTTCGGATTGGGAAAGCAACTCTGTTTAGCGCCATTCACGCGCGAATATTCTCCCATCGTTATTTTGTCTCTGTTGAGTGGCGCTGGGACCCAGTGGTTGATAATGCATAGCAAACAATGCTAAGCTGTATGCTGCTTCAGGCACAATGCACACGCCCAAACAACTCACCTCACACTGTTGTCGTCGTTATTGTCGTCTTCAGTCTACTGAAAACACCCTTGGACTTGCGTTTAACAAGTGACTCCTCATGGCGCTTGCAAACCCGTTCATTCCCTCGTTATGCACATTAGCTACAGCTGTAAATTACCTCAGGTCTAGTGCCGAAGTACAGAATAAAAGAATATGCAACAGAGGCGCGCCGGCTGAGTCACCAGTAACGGATGGACATCTCTCCGGAACACTAACAGTCGGCTATTGTGTCGCAGAAAAGGCGTTATATTACGCCTAATAAATGAGATCATGTTTGGAGAATGAGACTAAGCAGAAAGTGGAGGGACAAAGAAACACACAACCAACGCTAGTGAGATCGGCTTATATGCATGTCACCAAGTGTATCCAGACAAACGTGTTCATCGTCGTTCGGCTCCAAACGAGGGCAACTTCAAAGTAAGGGCTTTCCTTCCTCTCGACCGAGTCATCGCTTGGACATCCCTCTTCTTCCATCCGCAACCCCGGTGCGCAACCAACGCACGTCCGGGAGTCGATGGGCTGGCATGCGCAACACCTGACCCAGCCACCGGAGCCTGGTGCATGGAATAACATTGTTGAGCGGTCCGCTTCTTATTTCTACGCCATAAACAAGGCGTCGAACACGCTCCTTGCTCACACAGTGTCCGCACCAGATATGATCCAAACTGCGAAGGTGTCGGTGGTCGAACGTAACTAACTTCTTTGTATCAGCTGATCTAATGGGCCAAGTTTCACAACCGTCGAACGTACGGCTTCATGGTACACTCTACCCTTCAATGAGAGAGTGATGTCGCACCGGCGCCATAGGTGGTGAGGGTTATCAAAAGCGTCTTATACTTTAGTTATACGGTTTGTGACCTCGTCTTTAATTCCAGCGACGCCTGTACAACTACCTAGGTAGTTGAACTTTTGAACGACTTCTAGTTGATCTCCACTAATGCTCAGCGCGGGAAGCGGCCCCTGCCAATCTTGGAGGAAAGCTTTGCACCTCGAGGGTGCAAAGCGTAGCCCGAAACGGGTGACAGCCAGTGCCAATCTGTTCAGAACCGCTTGACAAGTTTGTGAACTGTCACAGATGACGACAATATCATCAGCATACTCTAAGTCGAGAACTCCTTTTGCCGGGAACTTCATACTTTCTAAGACATGTTTTATGAAAGCTATCTCCATGACTTATCAATAGTGAAGCTAAAGAGGAAAGGTGACAGCGGGCATCCTTGTCTTACACCGCTGGAGATATTGGAGGGAGGCGACAGCTTGCCCGAGCTACGCGCGTAAAT